GCCCCATAACCACACATAACATCCCAAAACCACTCCATAACCCCCCCAAAACCCCCCCTCACCTCGTCACAGCCCGGGCACCGATCCCGGAGGGTCTCCCCGTGGTCTCTCCCGCAGAGCAGCCGCCCCCCTTTGCCCCCGGGGCAGAAGTAGAGCAGATCCACGAGGGGCCGTTGGCAGCGGTGGCAGCGGAAGCAGGGGGGGTGCCAGCACAGCCCCAGCCCCGCCCGCCCCGCAAACACCGCCAGGGCCCCCCCCCGCACCGGGCCCCCGCACTGCCGGGGGAAAAAAGGGTGAAAGGGGGGTTTTTCAGCGATTTTTGTAGTTTTTTTACTGATTTTGGGGTTTTTTTTTACCGATTTTTTGGGGTTTTTTTACTGATTTTTGAGGGGTTTTACTGATTTTTGGAGTTTTTTTACTGATTTTTGAGGGTTTTATACCGATTTTGTGGGGTTTTTTAATTGATTTTCAAGGGCTTTTTTTACTGATTTTTTGGGGTTTTTTACTGATTTTTGGCAGTTTTTTACTGATTTTTAAGGGGTTTTTTACTGATTTTTGGGGGTTTTTTTACCAATTTTTTGGGGTTTTTTTCACCGATTTTTTGAGGTTTTTTTACTGATTTTACAGGTTTTTTTACTGATTTTAGGGATTTTTTTACTGATTTTTGGGGTTTTTTTTCGTTTTTTTTGGGGTTTTTTTTCTGATTTTTGGGGGTTTTTTAATCGATTTTTGGGGGTTTCTTTACCGATTTTCAGGGGTTTTTCACCGATTTTTGGGGGTTTTTTACCAATTTTTTGGAGTTTTTTTACTGATTTTTGGGGGGTTTTTTACTGATTTTGGCGGTTTTTTAATCGATTTTTTGGGCTTTTTTTAGCGATTTTAGGGGGTTTTTTTACCGATTTTTTTGTGATTTTTTTACTGATTTTTAAGGTTTTTTTTTAACGATTTTTGGGGTTTTTTTACCAATTTGTTTTTTTTTTTTACTGATTGCTTGAGGCTTTTTTACTGATTTTTGGGGTTTTTTTACCGATTTTTGGCGATTTTTTACTGATTTTTGAGGGTTTTTTTACCGATTTTTGGGGGTGTTTTTACCGATTTTTGAGGGTTTTTTTACTAATTTTTGGGCGTTTTTTACCAATATTTGGGGGTTTTTCATTGATTTTCGGGATTTTTTTAACCAATATTGAGGGTTTTTTTACCAATTTTTTTGGGTTTTTCATCAATTTTTTGGGGTTTTTTTTACCGATTTTTGGGGGTTTTTAACCGATTTTTGAGGGGTTTTTTATTGATTTTTGGGGGTCCGACCCCCCGCTTTGGAGTTTTTTTAATCGATTTTTGGGGGGTTTTCACCAGTTTTTGGGGTCCATCCCCCCGTTTTGGAGTCCCACCCCCCCCGTTTTGGTGTTTTTCACCTATTTTTGGGGTCCCATCCCACCATTTTTGCGGTTTTTCATTGATTTTTGGGCTCCCAACTCCCCTTTTTAGGGTCCCTTCCCCCTATTTCTGCCCTTTCCCCGCCCAATTTTTGAGCTTTTCCCCCCCATTTTTTGACCTTTTCCCCCCATTTTTTTTGTGATTTTCCCCCAATTTTTTGGGTTTCCCCCCATTTTTGGGGTCCCCTTTTTTTTGGGGGGTGCCCCTCCCCCACCTGCTGACAGACGGCCCCGGGGCTGGTGAGGGGGAGGGGCCGGACGCTCCCTTGGCCCAAATTCTCCCGTTTTCGGCGTTGGGCGAAAAGTTTCAATTCCCGACGTTCCGGCTCCGAAAGGTCGGAGCAAAACTGGGGCTGGAAAAGGGAATTTCGGGGTTTGAACCCCAAAAATAACTTTAAAAAACTCAAATAATCCAAAATAACCAAAAAAATGGCTCAAAACACCCCAAAATTACCCAGAAATGGCCTAAAATAACCCAAAATAATCCAAAATAACCCCAAAAATGCCCCAACGTTGTCCTAAAATAACAAAAATAAGCCCCAAAATGCCCTAAAATAATCTAAAATATTCCAAAATAACCCTAAAATAAATAACTCTAAAATAACCTAAAATAATCCAAAATAACCCCCAAAATGCCCTAAAAATGCCCTAAAATAATCCACAATAACTTCAATACATCTTAAATTAAAGTAATTCAAATAATCCCCAAAAATGCCCTAAAACAACCCAAAACAACCCAAAATAACCCCAAAAATGCCCCAAATTACCTAAAATAATCCAAAATAATGCCCAAATTGCCTCAAAAATGCCCTAAAATAATCCAAAACAATCCCCAAAATAATCTAAAATAATCCAAAATAACCCCAAAAACGTCTCAAAACACCCCAAAAATAACCCAAAACGACCCCAAACTGCTCCAAGACCCCCCCAAGACGCCCCCAAACCCCAACAAGACCCCCTGAAATGTCCCCACAACCCCCCCAAATCCCTCCAGAAACCCCCTAAATTCCCCCAGGACTCTCCTCAAATCTCCCCAAAATCCCCCCAGGACCCCCCCAAGTCCTCCTGA